TAAAAAGGAGAAGGATTAAGGAGTTTTATTTAACTGATGGTTTGCGGCTCCGTAGCATCAAAAGGTTAGAAACGTCTGCGGCTGAGAATCAAACGTAAATGCCTTAATCATCAGCTATGCGTTAAAATGTTCAATGCCAGAGCAACTTCATCCAATCCGTGAATTACGAGGAATGCAAGAATTCATCTTCTATTTGCTGATGCCCTTCTGAGGAATATATTGCAATCTCTGAGAACAGTGCAAGAGAAAGGACTGGCTAAGTGCTGGAACCCCGTACACGTCTTTAATTTAGCGAGACGGTGGGCTGTTGCATGAACGGTTCATTTAACCACAAGCGATGGCTGAACTCTTGGCGTTTTCATGACCACAGGACTTTTTTTTTAAATTAAAGATCACTGCTGTCTGAAAGCGTTTTAAAAGCCACGAGGTCTTGCTTTATGAGTGTGTCTTTGGTAGTCTTCAAACATTAGACTACTCTTCCTCAGGATAATGTGAAGTAATTCCACAGATCAATTTTCCACGCTAGCTTTTCTTTGCAGTCGTAAGAGTCAATTGTTGTTGGGATCTACCAGTGTTGAGTTAGTGCACGCAGATGGTCTAAATCTGTACCCATGGAGAGTGAGTTCTTAAAATTCATGTTTATTTGACATTAAAATATTGTTGTAGGACACTCTACTGAAGCTTCTATGCTGAAGTGATTTCTTCCCTTCTTTCATTTATCAAATTCAAGTCGAGTTAAGGACTAAACAAGATAAGGAAAAAGAGAGTTTTAAGGTGACTATTTTCACAATGTAGCACAATTAACTGAGAGATTAAAGACGATAGTTCGAGTAATGGCAGATATAGTAATGTATATAGTAACTCCCACCTAAACAGAAAAACTAAATATCTTAGTTTCCATGGGAGCCTCATGAGAAATCTCAACAAAACCTCAATTTCAAGTTTTGGGGAATTTGATGTCGAATTAGCAAAGAAACGGAGGAAATTTCCGCCAGGATGAAGAAATAGGGATAAGACAAATATTCAAAGGAAATGGGAAAAACTGTTTTACATATTTGCCACTCAGCATGGTACAGAGTCAGAGTCATAGTCTGTATATATGACTGCATGAAAAATATGATCGAAAGTGTGTATAATACACATGAAAAATAATATTTTTAAAGATTATATGATGCTGAAATAGATGGCATGATTCAAACAGTAAGAAATAAGATATTATCACTTAAGCTTCCCTTTGATGCTCAGAGTTCTGTTAACATTACCATCAACTTCCCTCTATTTCACGTTTCTTCTCCCGACCTCTCTCCGTGGTTACTAAGTTTGCCTTATAAACATAACAGTTCTCTTTCTTTGCCTGTGTATCTGTCTTCCTCACAAACACTCCATCTGTCTCTGTCGTCCTCTTGAGAGTGTACATAATGACTGTTTAAAATGTTCTAAATTTAATTATTGTTACTGATAGTTATCCTTATTTTTTATACAGTATATTGAGTTAAATTATTCTTATTTGTATTTTGATAAAGAAACATAATTTTATGCTATTCATAATTTTGAAGAGTTTCTATGAATTTCGAAAAAAAAATTTAGCCATCGTATTAAAGGTATAGATGTTTAAAGTTATGCCATTCCCATTTTATATCTGATCTTGTATTTCATAACATTCATACTCATCCTCATCACATATTTTTAAATCATCAAATCAAAATTAAAATAAATACACCACTTACCAAACCCACAAATAAAAATATAAATAAATAAATAATCTATTTTTTATGTTTTTCTTAAATATATTGAAACAATTTTTTGTTTAATGTTCCTGACAGTATTTGCTCCTATATGGGATGGCTTTAGATATGCTTTGCTATTCCTTTACAATTTTATTAAGAGATTCTTTTATTTAGTCTCACTAGAAAATATGTCATAAATACATAAATTGAGGTAATTCTATATGAATATCACTCACAGCAAGAATAATGTCTGATATGATTTTCTTTTTTCTCTTCTGCAATACTAACATAAGGAGTATAAGATTAATTCTAAGAGTATATGTATATGTTAAAAAAGTCAGTATATTTATACTTACTGTTTGTTATAGGCTCTAATAAAGGCCTAGAATTTATGCAATCTTTTCAAAATCTATTCTTTATGTATAAACTATTTCTGCTTCTCATTGTTTTCCATCTTTACAAGGCTAATTCAAGGTTTCTTTCCCAGTGTACAAATAAAACAACAAAGAGGAAATATATTCTTTAAATATCCACAAGAAAGACAATATTACAGATACATCCTCTGACAAAAAAACAAAGCACCTTAAAAAATATTCAACAATACTTACACAATATCAGTCATGGAAGAAAAGCTTATGCTCAAACTCAGGGTATAATAACATACGATGCTGGCAAAATAACATGACTATTGACAGCTGCAGAAATGTGAAATGTGTGTATATGAGGTTAGCGTTTGCTTTTTTCTCTCTCTATATAGTTAAGGCCTTTAAAAGTTGTGATGTGATTTGCATATATTTAGCCATTTTGAAGTAAACTTTTCCTAAGTAACCATAAAAAACAAACCGTTTATGAATGATTTGCATGTATATCGATACAAGGAGTTCAATAGCAACAGGTTCTTAGCCACTCTGCCTTTTACTTAGCATAACTGATATTACACAAATCCTTATCAAACGGAAAACTCCTGGATGTGGCCTAGTGTGCATTACAGCCTTTGTGTCTCCTATTTTCCTCCTCAATACGTACACTCAGCTGTTGTACCAGTCCAGGAAAAGAATCGTACATGACATGACTATCAGGAAGAACATGATCCATACCCGAAAACCTGCGTCCTTTCTCATCGCTTCCCGGACCTGTTGAGAGGAACTTCATTGGTGAAAAATGGCAAGAAGTGAGAAATAATAATGGTATTACCAAAAATCAATAATAAACGACTAATCTGAATGCATCTTTCTAATATATAGAATCCTCTTCAGCCTATCCATTGCTGGACTTTTAGGTGCCTGGATAAAGTACGTAACAAATTTCTAATTCCTGTGTGCTGTTTACTGTGGCACTAAATTATTAATGTATTGCTGTCATAAGAAATACAATTACTTTTAAATGAAGTTACTAAGGTAATAATGACTAAATTACTGAAATACTTGATTTAGGGACTAAAGAAATTTAGACAGCAAATCTGGCCTCCACAAGGAACAGGAAGAAAGTGAAGCCACTCTGATGGCTGACTGCAAATGGCAATGGAATCATATGATACTAGTATTAATTATGATATAAGCATACTTGCAATAAGCTATACTATTTATCTTCTATCAACAATTAAGCCTATGCCTTTGAAATGATATTCGTTATTCATCTTTCTTTTTCCTTTTTTTTCTTTAGAATTATGCACCTTATTACAATTAGAAAAACAGTCTAAGAAAAACATCTGAAACAAAGAGGTAAATTACTAAGGGAAAAAATGGGTTTGAGAACATAATGTGCGAATGATATTAAGTACAACTCTGCAGAGAGCAGCATATACAATTAGAAAAAAAGGCAGATCACTATTAGCTTGTGAAGAGTTTCCTATCATTATGTCTACAAATACAGAGACACATACACTATACTATCTAAACAGGCAAAACAGTAACAGCTGTTCACAGTGGCTGTTATGTAATCAATCAGTAGACTATATCTATCTACTGGTGAAACTACAAATCATTTCTGTTACCTACAGGAACAACAATCTGAGAGAGTGTAAGCATTCACATATCTTAGACATCATAAAGTGTGAATATAAAGTAATAGAAAGCCACCAAAATTCTGTCTCCATTTTATCATTTTGACAATTTCATCCATTTGCATGACATTTTTGAGAGGAAATACTTTAATTTTATCACCACTTGTTATGAGCATTGGTATAATTTCAAATTCTTATAAATAATCAAAAGAACAATGAATGTTGAAAGGAAAATTTTAAAACAAGAAAATGTTAATGTAAATGTATTACACAATTTCCTGAAAAGGTGAAAGCACTTTACACAATCAATCAATATTTTATTGCTGGTTTCTGATTTATATGTGGATTATCATTTTTTTTTTGACAAATATTGTTAACATTAGGTTTTAATCATTAAATATACAGAAAGGACAGAAAAATTACATACCTGCTCATTACCTTCCCGAACATTTTCAGTTGCTGTCAAAATTGTATCGTGAATCTCCTCTATTTGATGGGCCTGAATATCAACATTCTCTGTTAACATATTCTGCATCTGACCCAATTCTACCACCTGTTGGAAGAGGAGAAAGTGAGTTTTAAGCAAATACTATACATCAAAAGTACCAAGAGTACCATGTGTTCAAAGGCAATGTAATCAGTATCTTGGAAATGCCTTCATTCAGTTATTGCATTGGAATGAAATGAACTAAGACTGCAATCATGTTTTCTTAACTGCTTGTATCCAGAGAAACCTGATGAATTATAAACAGTAAAACATGAAAAATATCTTTTAAAAAATAAATAAATAACTATATCTTATACCTGATGAATATATGTAAAAAAAAATAATAATAATAATAATCAAATACTATTCTAATAAAATAAAGATCTGATGATGATTTTCAACTCGCTCATCCTTCCACCTCCACATACCTGTCTAGTAATCTGTCGAACCTCTTCCTGATTGGACATGAGTTCTTTATAGAGGTGTGCATTCTCCTCCTCCAACATCTGCCTCTCCTCGGAACTCAATTCACCGAGCATCTTCTCCACCTCCTCCTCTATTACGGCGCTTGACCTGTCTGTTGCTGTGCTGTTTCCCACTTTGTTTTCGCTCCCTTTAAGTCTGCTCTCGTCCAAGTGCTGGTCTTCTAGGTTTCTTTGGTCTGTGTGTTGACTATCACTGGACTGTGACCATGAGCCTGTTAGATATATTTTGAGAGATAAAGAAGTAGGTATAGCATAAGTTTAGCCATCTCCATAGAGATTATACCATGGTTTATGCTTTACTTAGAGAAAGAGAAAATCTTATGTCTAAGGAATGATGAAATAATGCATTTTTTCATACATCCACTGGCATAAAATTTTAAAATAAAGAGTAAATAAAGGTCTTTTTGTCATCTCTTTACATATTAAATATGCCTCAATGCAAAAATGATAAATCAATTCCACCAACAGCCTCTCAGCATTTAGTCTCATTTCTCAATGACCATTCTGACCATGTTAAAAGTAATCAACCAGAAATATTCAAAGTAGGTCTCCATCATTTAAGAAATTTACCTATTTTCCATCACATCAACATAAACGATGCCATAAGAGAAGAAAACAGGCCTTTTAAACAGAATTAGCAAAGACCAGATAATAGGAATATCAAAATGTTTACCTGTCCATCTATTCTCTCCATCATTACTTTATTTTTTCCACATTCAACTTATATTTAATGCCTTGAAAGAATAAAAGATATACAGATCATTAGCAATGTGATATGATATTAATAGTCGATGGTTATTTTAGCAAAATATATGTACTAGACATTGAAGGTTATAAAGAACTATAGCAGTTCAGGAAGGAAGGGACAGGGCAATTCGACCGAAGTTAACAAAGGAAGATGTGTGAGATTTTGCAAAGATGTCCATAGGGTAAGGTAGGGATTAGCAAAGGAGAAAGGGTATAAGGGCAATTAGATTACAGATTCAGTGAGAACGTTAGGAGGGAGAGAATCTAGGGAAGGGGATTTCTGTGACAAAGGGTCAGATCCATGAGGGAAGTGGGAGGGATAGTGGGTTAGGAGGGGGGGGATAATGCAGCTGGAGCATGTGGGGACTGGGATGTGTTGGGAGGGAGTGGGAGGAAGGGGTGTTTGGGGGAACATGAGTAGGAGGATGATGGATGTCAGCAGTTGCTTTGAGTGTAGAAGGAATGGGCGTAGAGAGTTTGGAAGATGGTTGTGGTGTAGGCATGTTATCTTGAGTTATGATTAGATAGTTTTGAATGAGAAACAAAGGTTTCCTTACAGGGGGGGGGAGGGAGAGGGAACAGATGTTTGAGGGGTGGAGGGACAGGTTGATGGAAAGGATGGGGTAGAAGATGGGATGGAGCGTTTAACTTGTCTTATGCAATGAATTGGGTGAGGAGGAAGAGGGTTAGGTACACCGGGGAAGTAGTGAATGGAGTGCCTGGGACAGCGAAGGAGACCAGGGTGTCTGGATTTAGAATGGCAAGAGAATTTGACTGGGAGATGGAGGGGGGGTAGAAGTAGGATGAGGAGATGCTAGGGGAGATGTAGAAAGGGGAAAGGGGAGAGGTAGAGCAATTATTAGAGTAGGGAGTGAGAGAGAAACTTGGTCGATATGCTTCCTGCCTGACTTCGCGTAGAGTGAGGCCAAGTCTGAATCTGAGAGTTGCCACTTCAAACTCAAACTTGCAGGTAGGGCAGTCCCTATAAGATACATTATGGGAGCTACCACTATTGACAAATGTGTGTGACTGTGCAGTTTGATCAATTATGACCAGAGCATCGGCTGTGGAACAGCAATGTTTGGCAGGATGACCTTGACACCAGCAATTCTGACATTGATGGGAAAGGTTCATATGGTCGGACAGGGAGGGATTCTCCGCCAATGTAAATATTAAAGGGGAGGTCATGTCTATGGAAAGTAAGCTTGGTAATATTGGTGGGGGACTTATGATGGCCTCTAGGGGGGAATGGTATAGCATTGTACTGTTAATCAGAGCAACTGCAGAATGAAACATTGCCTACTTGTTTTTGGAGAAATTGCTAGAAGAGGAGAGTGTTGTCAGAGTATGGAGCTGTGGGGGGGATCATGAAAAATCAGTCCCGTTTGGCTGAGCTAAATAGAGTCTTTAAGATGTTTGTAGAGGTGGGAGTAGTAGAACAACAGGGATGTGTGGAAGAGGGAATAATCTTGAGAGAGGTAAGTATTGCAAAGCAGTGGACAATAAGGTTGTAGAGTAGTAATAAGGGGAGGATGGGGAAGTTGATGAAAAAAAGATATAGGAGTAGAGGTGACGTAGAGGATTTTGGGAGAGGAAGAATGTCTCCTGGAGGTTAAGTAGTCACCTGGGAGGATGATGTAATTACAGGCATTGAGGTGGGGATAGTAGTAGCAGTGTTCAGAGTTATGGTCAAAGGAGAGTCTGGAGTTGGGGAACTGGGAGAATTTGAATCAGTGGGATTATTTCATGAAGGGCAAGCCTTATTGCCTTTGATAATGTATCAAGTCTTCATTATTGGCCATCATAAACCTAGAGTACTTTGGGGAGAGAAACAGTCCATCCCTCAGGGTCCCCTTGAGGGATAAGGGCTAGACAACTAAACAGGAATACACCATGCCCATAACTCCTCCAGGCCATTGTGACTGGCACAAAGTCAGCCTTTCATCCTTTCAGCACTGCTCTCACACCTTAGGAAATGGACAGTAGAAGAGGTTGGAGAAGAGAGGAAATTTGAGGGAGGGAAAAAGACTGTGCAACATTAGTTGAGTCAAGGAATGAGGCCCAAGGCAGGGGTGATCCCAGCATTGGGTCTCATTCTCCATCTCCTAAGCCCCCCCCCCCCCAGCAACAATGGGCAAGGGATTGGAGGGGATATGACCATAATTCATGTCTGGATCTTCTTTATGAAATGTTTGGGTGACTTTTCTTTTCTTTTCTTTTGCCTGACTGGATATCCTCTTTAACAACAACTGTAGTCTACTTCATAGTTGCTAACAGAGGCCTTCTCCAGTAGGTGGCAAGAGTAGTCCCACTAAACCATTTATAGAATTTATAGAAGTGAATAACCTGCTCCACATTTCATCCATAAAAAAACTCTAAATACAATATTCAATGGAATCAAAGAATAATTCTTTCTCTCTCTCCCAGTTTTCTTTCTGGGAAAAATATCTTGGTCATACACATACTCACTAGTGTTCTTCTTGCTCTTTTCTCTTAAACCATCAAGTAATATCACTATACATTGAGCATACATCATCCCCTCTCACTACAAACATATTTCACATATATAGAAAAGTTATGAATGAGAATGAATATCTTCACAATACAAGAAATGTATTTGACCGGTTTCGATTTCATAATCGAAACAAGTCAAATACATCTCATCTTGTGAAGATATTCATTCTCATTCATACTTTTTCTATATTTGTCAACATGAATATGGTTCATATTTCACATACCTACAAAATGTGCCATCCAATGCTACACACACAGTCTGTGATTAAAGTCTGGTCTTTTAATACAAACCTACACCCAAAGAATAATAACCTATAGCAAGATACTATCAAAACCCTGGGCATCATGCAATTACTCTTCTTGATCTCACCCCATGGAGTGCAATGAATGCTGGCAAATCTGCATTATTGTCACATATGTTTTTTTTTTCATATATGAAAAAAGTTGCACTGCTTGAACTGTTTTTCACTTAACTAGGCAACAAAGCACACCATCAATTCAGTGATTAACAACTCTAAAAGGTTTGACTCTATACATGAATTATAATAACAATGTATTGAATATTTAAATTTATCTGACTGTACCAGAACCTATAAAGCTACCTGGATCTTTCCTATAACAAAAAAAACAAAAAAACATAGCATTTGAATCACATTCTGATTTCACCTATCAAAAAATCAATCAAATTCAATTAAAAAATATATATATCTTGTATCTTGAATGATCTATGACATTTTTGGGTCTTTGTGCAAGGGGAATGTCTGAATTTATAAAAAATAAAAAATAAAAAAAAATGCAAATTGCTAATCTTGCACAGAAATCAAACTAAATTCACCAGGTAATGAAAAAAAAAAAATGAAGGAAATCATAGCTCAGCACCAACCTGACATAGAGCCATCTAGTGTATCAGAACCATGGTCTTTGGATTTCTTCTTGGTGCCTGCGGGTCGCTGCAGCCTCGAGAGATTTTCCTGGAGACAGACAATGAAACTGTGCAAATACTTGGTTCATGGTTATCATCCTCTTTTGAGGATTTAAGATTATATAGCATTGCTTTCTTTAACTGTTAACATTACCAACTTTATCAATTTCATCATCATCATCATTACCATCAATAATCATCATCAATCATCATCAATCATCATCAATTATCATCAATCAATCATTATCCTTTCAAAGAATACAAACCTTCTCTTTTTGCTTTTTACACCTAGCTTCTTTCATCTCTTTAAAGCCTGAGTTGATCTGCTGGAAATTCTGCTTCAGAATGGACAGAATACTCTGCTGGCAATCAGAGGCGTCTTTGGAACACTTCTCTGTCATTTCCAAGGCACGGATGTTGTCGTCTATGATGCGGAGGTTTGTGGTGACCACCTGGGAGGAAATGGCTTGAGGAATAAGCTTCATCTCTCTTTTAACAAAAACTGTTGCTATGTCTAATAATTTAGATACATGGTATTCCTTAAATTCAAAACACAGAAAGGGAAAAGTAATACAACAGGATATAGGTCTGATATTAAATCTAGATACATGACATTCCTTAAATTTAAAACAAAGTTATCAAAAGAGAAAAGTATCCCTGTTATTGTATAGGGATATATATATTAATTTCTACCTTTTCCATGTAGGTCCTTTCATAATCTGACATTGACTGATCCTCAATCTGCAGGTATTTCTTCCGGTGGTCATCCAGCAAGTTCCGATGGCTGGAGATATTGCTCTGGATGTCCTTGGCTTTTGAGTAAAACTGCGAGAAGGCGGTGGGGGAGCTTGGGAAGATCTTGGTCTGGGGTAGGGTCACGCCCATGGCCTTGTTCCTCGTCCGTATTGTTTTGACGCAGGACTTGAAGAGGTTGGTGAGGTCCATGCTTGCTCCGTTTTCTACAGTCATCTGGAGTGGGGCGGAAAGAGGATTATTAATAATTGTTAAATAAAAAAGAGGAATGCGACATCAATGCTAAACAGTGGAAAATGTAGGAAACCACAAAATAAGATGGTATAAAATATAAAAATAATATACATAAGGTAATCAAAACATATCAAAGATTAATCATTTGAAAGGGTTGTTTTAATTATTACTCAAATATACAGACAAGTCCTCAATATTACATATTTTCTTCACAAGTATAAATTAGTTATTTTCCTGGGTCGTACCCACAATTTAATCATGTAACAACTGTAGCAATATAATTATCTACATCATTATTCAATAAACACTTTTTTTCTGCACTTCACAGACATGCTCAATACAACACAGAAAACAATAAGAATGAAGACTCAATCAACTTAACATCTGCTAGAGAATAATGAAACTAAAAATAGTAAATTAGAGTAGACAAAGATTTCATTACTTGATAGAAATTGCTATACCACCACAAAAAAGTACCCTGTCCACTCTCTTCATGATCAGAAAGAAACTTATCTCCTGTGCTATAAATCTCACCATGTATATTTTGCAAGATAAAAGCTCCACATTCCAAATATCTAGCCAAAATTTATGCAGTGGATTTAAGCAGTTTATCAATACCAATTTCATCTGTATAATCACAAATATACTACCGTAAGTCTGACACCTAAGCTTCTAAACTTTTCCAGGAGAAAAGTTACTGACAAGCTTTCTTTCTACTTTTGCATTCTGGCAAAAGACAACTGTAGTAGATGGGTGGCATCTACTACTTTAACTGGTCTGTATCTCTTTAGGAAGTGGAGCTGTACAGAGGAACCAGAGAGGCTCCCCAGTTGGTGAAGGACTGGGTAGTCCTGATGTTGCTGCTGGTTGCTGAGGTGCAGCTGGATGATCGTAAGTTGATGATCTCAGTTCCGAACAGGGAATGATCAGAGCCTATGGTTCAATCAGAGAACCAAGAGGAGACCATGTCAACCAGTCAGGTCTCTGCAGTGAGTTGCAAGAATCGCCTGCTAGTGAAAGAGCGAGAACAAGGCTGTTGGACGTAGGTCATGCTACTATAGGTACTCCCCCTCCAGTGAGTGAGCTGAGTGAGCAACATGTCACATGCATGACATTTAACTCTGGGGTTACCAGTGTGGCAGATGGGAGGCATCTACTACTTCAACTGGTCTGTATCTCTTTGGGGAGTGTTTGTAATGGGTGTGAGTTCCCACTGTTATGGCTGGGTGCTGTGGATGATGTGGAGTTGTATGGGCGAGTCAGAGAGGCTCCCCACGTGGCAAAGGACTGGGCAGTCCTGATGTTGCAACTGTTGAAACTCTGGGTAACCTTCATAGCCTAATTGTGACGCTGCCATACAGCATCCTTTATAGGTAAATATTTAACTAAGCAAGTACTTAGACATCCACCATAGCTCTCAAAATGGAATCTACTATTTATCACATAATTATATTGGCTATGTTCTATCTCAGTGGTTCTCAACCTTTTACACTTCTAGTCCCTTCTAGCAGATGCTTAGCAAAGCAAGACTAAGATCTTTCTCCCCCAATAGGCTTTACGACCCCCTGCTAACCCTCCGTAATACCCTTGGGAGTTGCAACCCACTAGTTGGGAAGCAATGGCAATAATGATGCAATAGGGGTAATAGGGTTATTCCTATACTGAACAGACTCATCGACTAGGGTATGCACACTGTCAGCTGCTCAACAAAATGATTAGAAGTGCAAAGGAATGTATGTTTATCCTACTCTGTGTGCGTTTGGCAGCGGCATACAATCTATTTTTACTTAATGCTGACTAAAACAAGGCTTTATCTTTACTTCTGATAAAGGGTTATGGAACTGCTGCAGCCTTCACAATTTCAACACTCCACCAAAGACAAACTAATAAGGTCTAAAGGCTTTATTTTGCCATATTATACATGATGGAGGTTTCTTAGCCTTTACTAGAGTACTGACAGACATAGAGACTACAGCAATCAGCATGAGATAGCTGTCAGATGCTTTGGTGTCATCAAGGCACTTTTAGTAAAATCTGACCTTTATCAATCTGGTAATTCTTAACCATAAAGATGCAGTCAAAAGAAAAGTTCCAAATTCGATGTCACTAAATTCATTCAACAATCTATGATACTGCGACTGGGTGTGCCAAGGGGAGAGTTGACAGGGGCCTCCTCAACACTCCCCAGAGAAGATTATCGGTCTGCAAAGAAAGACAGAGCTAAAGACCTAGGAGCACTGAGTGGACTTAGGCTGCGAGTGCAATTTGCCGAGACCTTCTTCCTTTCCTTATGGGATTCCTTTTCACGTCTGCAGATTGTTTCTTGGACCAACAACTGCAACCTTTTGTCCTTAACGAGAATATCATCTTCAATCAGAACCTAGATTAATTAATTTGCACTGTAATGATTAAGTATTAATATAATTTGGGTTTCCTAGGGAGAAGTTTAAAATATATATTTCTCTGTATTTTTGCATAAACCTGTTATAGACCATTACCAAAATTAATCAACAGAGAAAATTATAAGTCATATCACCAAGCAGACAACGAAAGAAAATTAAACATTATAGTACAGTAAATGTGCAAACAGACTGACATTCCTTTTAATAAAAACAAATTATCCCGATACTCATCTCTTCTCCAATAAAGGCAAAGCTACAACCCAACCAAAAACGAGCAATTTAAAAAAAATAATAATAGCATTCAATGTTACCTACCACGACGCACAGAAATTGAGGGGAAATAGCCACGTTAGAGACCATAAAAAATACAAATAATTAACCACGAAATGACAAAAATCTCCTCCGCAACACCCTCACACGGCCAGAGTTCTTAAAGTCGCACTTTCTTAAATTAGGCACGAATTGATAATAAAGGGATGGGGAACAGGAGGACTTCCGCCCCCTACCCCCCTGATCACGGAATAAATAGAATGTAGGGGAGGTTAGGGTTGGATTTGGGCTGGCACGATACACTGGCTCTGGGGTCTTGTAACAGCAGGCAAGCAGAAAAGGGTTACAAGATTTTCAAGTGATATAGGCCTACAATCAAGCATATAGGCCTTGTATATAATTATATAATATAGTATATAACATAGGCCTTGTATATAATTAAAGTATGTATGTAATATAAGTATATAGGCCTAGTATATAGTATATAATATAGCATATAATATAGTATATAATATATAGTCTATAATATAGGCCTAGTATATAATCTAGTATATAAGCCTAGAATCAAGCAAGAAAATGACATTGCAATTGGGGGTTTAATAACAGCCTTGGTTTCATTTCGCGACAAATAAAGACAAACTACGTGCTAAATCCTCTAACTACATTCAATAACCGGATTCAGAGAGCCGATAATTAAAGGCATTTATCAGGAAATTATATAATTCTAATAAATAAAATCTCTTGACAGAAGCACTTGCCTTCACAGCTGATTGCGATTCTACTTTAAAAGATGGGGATGACTTTTCTGGGAATCATTGTTCGGATATAAAATTCGACTTAAAAAGTTGATTTTAATGAGCTCTTAATTTTATTTATGATATTACTTTCACAACATTTATAAAATAAGTATACAAATATTCACATGAATCGCAAGACACGTCTACGGACACAGACGTACCAACCCAACCGTAAAAAATCCCAACCAATTCACAAAAGCCAATCCATATAACAATCCACCCCAGTACCTTCCACCTAAATCTCTCAAACCAATAAATCCATATAAATTACCTCTACGTCATTAAACTCATCAAAAAAAAACACTCTACAATAAATAAGCACGTGCCCCCCGACCCCTTAGGTTTCCCCCCCTGCCGGCACAACTGTCAACATGGCGAGCGCGGAGGTGGACGAGCTGTTCGACGTCAGGAATTCCTTCTCCATCGGGAATTACCAGCACTGTATCAACGAGGCGCAGAAGCTACAGGTAATTTGATTGTATGGGTGTGTTTTTTTTAGGTTAAAATTGGATATTGAGGAGAAGAGGTGGTAGTGTGTGGATTGTCTTTTCCTTGTTTTATTTTTCTTGTTTTGATTTTGTCTTGTTGGGTAGTAAAACCTACATGAAATGATAGAACAATACAAACCAAGACAAAGTTCTTCTACGGTAATATGTATGCAAATGTTTCCCAAGGCTGCTAGGCATGTATATTACCCTGGGGATCCAGGGGGCAGAGCCCCCTGGCGAGGGAATATATACCTCGGTGTTAGGTTAGGTTGGATGTTGGGTTAGGATGTTTTGTTTAACACCTTAACGCTTGGTGACGCCAATCAGCATGAAAGCAAACCGCTCGAAAGCTGGCGTGCAGTCGTATGCCGCGGCGGCGAGCCAGTGATTCGGGCTGATGTCCCCGGCTTCCGTCTATGGTCCGAATTCCCTGGTTTCAAATCACTTTTTTCGACATTTGGGGCAGTTGTTGGGCTCATATATCAGGCTGAGATAGACACTAATATCTATTTGTTTTATATATCCACTATATGGCTTTAAAAAAGACCCGGGATCGACGCAACACGCCTAAAATGTAACACTTCCCACCGGTGTTTCGGAACGAATGACGGCGCAAAAACGCATATGCATACAGGGTTATTGTGCAAAATAGTGTAAATAATTACCAAAACACATAAAAGAAGTATAATTAAAGTAAAAGAATTCATTAAATGCATGAATTCGGAAAAACAGACACTGGTAATTACAATATAATTGTTTTCACAAGTACGTAGTAATACCTGGACTACTTGATAGATCACAATAATGAGTTATGTGTCACATTTGTTTTGGTTCTGGCAAGATAAACATGGATGGGGACTTAGTCTCAGAGCGGTGCCATGCAGAGCCTATTTTTGTCATTTCCCGGTAAATATGCGGCAGATTTAGGCTATAACTTTAACAATCTTATCAATCGGTTCGCCAGCCAGTCACCACTACAATATATTTTCTTTTTGAATAAATTATGTTTTTACATTTAAAGTTGTATGAATCACCATCAAATAGTATTAAAAGCATTACATATTACAGGTACTGTATAAAGTATGTCGTACTTATTGGGATTTATGTACAGGTATTCCCCATTATGTCCATAAGTTGGGGACTTACTGTACAAATAATGCTTAACCCATTGCCTATGGGCATGCCATGCCCACTGTGAGTTTACTTATTTGATTGCTTTTACACATAGATGGCTACACTTTCACTAAACCACCAGTATGCCATGGCAGCACGCCAAAGCCGGCGAGCCAGCAATTCGGCCTGATCACCACTACAATATATATTCTTTTTGAATAAATTATGTTTCTACATTAAAGTTGTATGAATCACCATCAAATAATATTAAAAGCATTACATATTACAGGTACTGTATAAAGTATGTCGTACTTATTGGGATTTATGTACAGGTATTCCCCATTATGTCCATAAGTTGGGGACTTACTGTACAAATAATGCTTAACCCATTGCCTATGGGCATGCCATGCCCACTGTGAGTTTACTTATTTGATTGCTTTTACACATAGATGGCTACACTTTCACTAAACCACCAGTGAGCCAATTACGAGTACTGCCTGTCTCACCCATTCACCCTTTTCTTTAATTTTTGAAAATATTTTACGATATCTTATTTTGCTATTAATAATGTTTATAACATTATATTAATTATAATGTTTATATTAAAAATAACATCATCGATTATTATAGCACTAGTAAAAAATACATTTTCCTGCCAATTCGAGGAAAGGTGAAATCAGGTAAGGCAGAGCCATCTATGTGTAGAAATGTTTCACAAAAAAAATGTAAGAAATGGGCACAGCATTTTCCCCATTTTTTTATTCATTTTCCCCGTCAGCAATAGGTAAAAATCAGCTAATGAAACTTTGCAGACGTCTCCACCATATTTGAAAGTCTACAGACCAGTGTGCCAAGTTTCAAAAAACTCTGCGTGAATCAAGTCCATCGTTCAGCAAAAAGATCTATGGGATCTCACATAATCCAGATCCCTCATGGTAATCGTACAATGAGTCCTAACCAATAAACCAACCTAACCTTAACCCTGTGGGATTTATGCCTTATGATCTATATATTCCCTAGTCAGGGGGCTGTACCCCCTCGACCCCTGCGGTAATACATACGCCAGGGGCTGGTTAAGTGCATATATTACCACAGTAAAAAAGTGTGTTGAGTGGTTACCTTGATGAAAACTAAGACACTTTTCATCTGTGGCACAAGATGCGCAAATCAAAAATAAAGGAGATACCGGACAGAGAAGAGTGAAGAATGACCCATCATTTTCTAAGTCCCATCGTAATTACCTTGCAAGGATCAAGACAAATATGACGCATAACACATTACTGCGATCTGTCAAGTAGTTCATCTATTACTACACACTTGTGAGAATGATTATTTTATAATTACCAGTTTCTGTTTTTCCAAATTCATGTATGTAATGCATTCTTTTAGTTATTATACTACTTATACAATGCAGTCACTATGTAAATATATACTAGAATCCACATTTAGTGATATATAACATAATTTGTGCAGGCAAAGAATAACCTTAAAAAATAATAATAATAATAAAAAAAAAAAGGGGGGGGGGGATAGGGACTTGTGGCTAAAGCCCTTAGGTTAGGAAGGTTCATACAGATTCCCAGAATTACCCCTATGGTTATAGGCTGGAGTAACAGGACTTAGTCTCAGAGGGATGCAATCACTTTTTAAACAATTTTTAAAGGTAGTTCTTTCACTGTAAGATTCGAGCCTAAACAAACTTATTATATCCATATATATTTTTTACCTTAGTGATTGATAGATGATACTGAACTTTATTTTGATGTTATGATTACATAATCAAATTAAGCATTTGTAAGGGTGAAGAAGGGGTATCCTGTTAGGACCAGGCCTGGCCACCTATCAGAAAATGTGGCTTTCCTTTTATTAACAAGGTCAAATGTATTGGCCATGTTGACTGTCTGTCATGTAGCCAAATAAGACTTCCTTCCTACCAGGTTTAGCATTAGGTCAGGTTGAATAACAAAGTATGCATAAAGAAAAACTAACTTGAATTTATTAAACAAAAGACTGGTGCATTAGAAGCCAATCTGACCATATAAATTCTAGTATGGATAAGGGAAGGAAAGTGTTTGTGCCAAATATTTCTCAACATTTATTATGTCCAGGACCATATCGATTATTTCAGTAAAATCATTATGTGATACAAACTGTTATTAGATTCAAACCATGGTGCTAGGGCAGAGAACACGAGACAAAAGTTATGAATTGGACTTTGATATGTATTCTGAATGTGTTGTGTGTATTGGTATCACAGAATTTAATAGTATCAGTAGTCTTTCCTACCTTTTTTGAACAGGTATCAGAACAGTAGTCTCAGTCATAAATAAATAAAATAATACTTTAATTTAAATTACAGGTCAGCTCACCAGAGCTGCGACTGGAGAGAGATATCTTCCTCTACCGCGCTCTCATAGGTCAGCGCAAGTATGGAGTGGTTCAGAGTGAAATAAAGGCATCAGCTCCACCTCCACTGCAAGCTTTAAAGTTGCTGGCTCAGTACTTCCAGTTTCCCAGCAACAGGTGAGTTATAGTGTGTTTTTGAGAAGAGATCAATTAGATTTCTGGTTTCTATCTAATCATTGCACCGGAGGAATGTCTGTCATTCTGATTATGTAGGTGTTTAAGACTTTTCTGTTGTGTGTGCTTTGTGATTGATATTGTAGTAGAAGGTTGTAATTGAGGTATATTCATGTTAATTTTTATTCTTAATAGTATTTAATCTGTTCGTTCTTAATACACCTGCTCTGCATCTGAAACAGGGTAACCATCGTGAACGACCTGGAGTCTCAACTGAGCGGCAATGTCGATCTGTCCAACACCGCCCTCCTCATTGTGGCTGCAACCATCTACTGCCATGAGGATAACTATGAGGGAGCTCTTCGTGCCCTCAGTCAGTCAGATGCCCTTGAGTGGTGAGTACTCACTCTCTGTTGGATATCATTTTTGTATTTGTTTTTAAGAAGTGCAGTAGATTAAGGAAATATTGTTCTTTTCTTTCTCCAGTTTCCTTTTGTTGTCTTGTGCCATTCCTCCACCATTAAATTTCTTGAATACTATTATTAAGTGTTATATTTATTGTTGTTCCTCTTGTTAATAATGATAATTATAAGTACATGTAGCCAGTTCATACAGACTTCAAGCCACTGGCCATGGATGGCATAACTACATTATATGTGTATTGTAATTGTAATTTTAGTAGTTTATCATTTGTTTACACAGAGATGGCTCTGCAAGTGGTTATTCACTAAGGAGTCAATTATTAGGCATACCTGTCTCCTATTTTCCCTGATTTTTGGATACTTTTTTATCATTAGATTATTTTTATTGTTTTTAGTATTTGAATAAAATTATATTAATGATACAGCTAATTCAAAGAATAGGGAAAACAGCACCTACTAATATACTCCTTGATAGCTGAGCACCTGTTTGATAGCTCTGTGTGCAACAAAATTCATCAACACACAAACCCACAGCTAGTAGTTTAAGCGTGTGTGAAAAGAGGGCAGGTCCATAGTTCAAGTGAGTGTGGAAAATAAAAAAATGATGTATATCCTCTTTATGCCAGGTTACCTTATGCTAAGTTTGATGTGTTCACATGGCATCATTGGGATTTCTCCTTGCTTTTGTTAGAATCACAATGACCTGTATAATGATTTATCTTCATTAAAAAATACAACTGAAGAAGTAACCTCCAGCCACTGGAGAACAGAAATAAACTAAGTTATGTAGAGCAATGTTGGTAATAGGAGACTTTGAGGAAATAAAGATATATTTCTGGTCTATTGCAGTAATCTCTCATGCTTTTCTAAGTGTGCAGATATTAGGAGAATTACATAACATAAGTACCAGTTACAGTTGTATTTTCTAACCCAGTTGTATCCTCCTTAACCACCTTATTCAAGCCCCCATTTACAATCTTCATTCATGTGTTCCTCTTAGCCGTGCCTTGATGGTGCAGACTTACCTTAAGATGGAACGTCTTGATGCTGCCCGGAAGGAGCTGAAGACTCTCCAAGAGAAGGATGATGATGCAACACTCACACAGATGGCTCAGGCTTGGACCCACATTGCAACGGTTGGTTTCATCCTCTCATCCTTTCATCCCCCCCCTCTCTCTCTCTCTCTCTCTCCCCCCTCTCTCTCTCTCTCTCTCTCTCTCTCTCTCTCCCCCTCTCTCTCTCTCTCTCTCTCTCTCTCTCTCTCTCTCTCTCTCTCTCTCTCTCTCTCTCTCTCTCTCTCTCTCTCCCTCCCTCCCTCCCTCCTCTCCTCCCTCCTCTCTCTCTCTCTCTCTCTCTCTCTCTCTCTCTCTCTCTCTCTCTCTCTCTCTCTCTCTCCCCCCCCCCCTCGCTCCCTCCCTCCCTCCCTCTCTCCCCTCTCCCCTCTCCCTCTCCCCATCCCTCATTCTATATGTACTTTTATATCTCATTATTATTATTGTTATTAGCTGATTATCCACAATGAATTAGGTTATAATTTCTTTTAACCTTTTCTTCCTTGTCGTGTCATGCTGATAAATTTGATTATTCTCTTAATACTTGTTTTAGGTCACATAGGGGTGTGAAAAATATATTAAGAACAAGTAAAAAAAAATGGTAAACGTTTGTTTTTAATGACATAAAGGAAGTTTTCTTGTAAAAGTACATGCAGGTATCACCACACTTAAACAGATGAACGCAAGGAATGGTAGGGAGCTAAGTGTTTCCCTCCTCATGGGGGCAATTTTCTTTTCTCTTTCTTTCTTTCCTTCCTTCCTTTCTTTCTTCCTTTCTTCTTCTCCTCCTCCTCCTCCTCCTCCTACTTCTTCAGTTGTTTTCAAACCTCATATCTTCCAGGGAGGAGAGAAATTGCAAGATGCCTACTACATTTACCAAGAGTTGTTGGATAAGAATGTCAGCACAGCCCTTCTCCTGAATGGCCAGGCAGTGTGTTTCCTTGGCCAGGCAAAATACGAAGAGGCCGAGAGTGCCCTTCAAGAAGCACTCGATAAGGACCCGAGCAACCCTGACACCCTCATCAACTTGATGGTCCTTGCACACCACACAGGGAAACCGCAGGA